AGAGAGAGAGAGAGAGAGAGAGAGAGAGAGAGGGGCGTGGCAGCATCGATTTGGCACTTTGCCAAAGAAGCGTACTTTCATATCGCGTGACACCGAACGCATATGTATATGCAAGCTAGAAAGGAGGAGGGTATCAGGAATACGTTAAGTTATCGCTGCGACAGAAGAACTTCCCTACGTAAATCACAAGCACATTCCATTCAAATACTCCAGCGACGCGCACTGACATTTGTTCGATCAATCGATGAAGTTGTCGTCGATGAATCACGATTACTCATAGAATATATTATAATGCAAAGATGCACGCGCGTGAAGATTGGAAGATACAAAGTGCACTAGATTCATGTACAAGCATTTTTCTAAAGCGACCTAGATCAAATGTCTTGAAAACGGAGGTAATACTATCGAAAAGCTATATCTTATCTAGAAAAGAAAAAAAAGAGTTCCTTTAGCTAGAATGTTTTTAACTTCGTCTCCCTTTTATTTAAACAATTTGTCTCAGTGACTTTCAAATATGGTGTATTGATTTTACGTTACTTGCAGTTGACTCTCAAATATCCTATATTAACTCTGATTGTTACCGTGCAAAGGTATTTCGTGCTAAGTCTTTGTAGTATGATTGGATAATTTATTTAATTAATTCTCCAACTATTATTCGAACATTGCAGGAATTGTTGTTAGTAATCAAATCCTGTCGACGTGCACGCGACGCTGTTGCGAACAACAACAAGGGAATAGAGTATATTATTGTGGAATAATACAGCTACTAATTTCGGACAGTTTCTATCTCTCCGCGCTGCAGTTTCGATTCTTCAATATGGTACGGTGCATGCTATCGCATATGCTCTCGTGGGAGAACACGCTAATAGAGAAGCGTAATCAATATTCTACGTTCATTTGCCAGCGAGAGCGAACTCATCCGTCGAACTTGCCAAGTTATTTAAAAATAAATGGGAACATAATTGAAGAGTTCTCTTATTGTAACAATTTAGACATTTTTTTTATAATAGACATAATATTTTTAGCAAGATTTCTAGGAAATCTTAGGAAATTAGGTCATGCGAAGTAATGCACGTGAATAACTACGTTTTCTACGTTTCCTACGTTTTCTGAAGGAAATATTAGATGTAGTAAAAGGAAATCCATTATTTTTGCATGAAATTGAATGGAAAAATAATGGATTTCTTTTTACTACACTTAATATTAAATATTTAATAGATTTCAATAATAATTAAGTTGCAAGTTGGTTGAGATGACATCGACAAAAGGTCCAATTGCTTTTAAAATAAAATATGAACTGGAAGCATATATATTGTTTTTTATGTGTAAAAATATATTTTTCTTTAGTGAAAAATACTATTTTATTTATTTATTTATTTAATTATTCTAAAATTTCAGATATTAATTTATATTTGTAAATTATTGATTATCAAAACTTCTTTCTGTAACGTTCTGATAATTAAATAATCGTGCAAAATAAAAATTTGAATTATATCATTCAAATAATCGCAAAATTTGAATGAATGAATTATTTATTATAATGATTAGAATGAATTATTCTTAAAATAATAACTATTTACCTATTTAACATGGGTATGATAGCGAAATTTATAGCTAACAATACATATTTATCGCTTAAATTGTAATAATTACTTACTACATGAGTTTGATCTTTCGTTTAATTAGAAGTTTGCGTGTTACGTTTCTTCGCTTGACGTAGTCAGCACAACTTATACTCGTGCATGGCAAAAGTTGCACGTTCGTGTGATGTGCCCTTCGCCTGGAGGATACGCAACTTATATCCGCCAAATTTGCAACAATGTTCGTGAATTTCCACGCGGGCCTATACCGCACCACCGCACTGCAAGAGTTACGATGTACTCGAAGGACGTCAGATTTATGGCTGGTCGAGGGAAGATTGTCGAGTTCTTCGTGGCAGTGCCAAGACCACTCTTGGAGTTGCATTGATCTTAACTTCCCGCATGTACATTCTGTGTAAATACAAGCATTCGAGATACTTGTCAAATGTTGTCTACTAAAATAGATGGAGTTATGATTATAAAAGAAAGGATAAATAAGCGACGCTTATATAACAATAGAAAATATAAATAATTTTTTCAGAGTTTTTAAGATAGTTCATGTAAAATACATTACGGAAAAAAAATAGATTGAAGGGCAAAGCTATAATTTATTGCGCGAATTCAACATCTATAATTAAGAAGATTTGATGTTTAACGGTTTAATAAACCGTTAAGGTTATTCAGCTGTCGACTTTAAAATAAAAAACTATTTTTACATAGAAAATTGACTATCTATACGATTGTAGATTTGTTGAATTAATGAAGTTTTTAGCTGTACTTTTTTCTGTGTATATTTCAATCTTTAATTTCCTAAACATATTTTACAAGTTTTTCATAATTCACGTTCTTCATAAAAACTGTCTGAAATTATTATTCGGAACGTATTTTCAGAAATATGTATCTTGTATTATTTTTTTTTTGCGATATATCATTGAAATAATTTCGAAATGACAATATTTATACTAGCGACAAATATGTTTCGTATGATTTCCATTTTCTTCACTGTTAATAGGCTATCATCTTCGACTCTCTAATCTCGACATGCTTCACTTCTTGAACGCTTTCCAATTTTCCCTCTCTCGTACTTGATTGAAGACTATTTCCTTTCCTGCTTCGTGCTGTGATCGATTAATTGAAGGAGTAGTGATAAGAGGTCTGGACGAGCGGTGCGACGGGCGGTTCCTGGCTGTCTGCCAAAAACGAAAGTTCCGCGGTCACGGCGCATCGCCGCAGAAATTTTCGGGACGCGAATCGTGCCGCAACATCCAAACTTTTCGCATACCTTCGGGTATCGTTAATTTCGGGAATTTCGTGAGTGGGAGCACACGTGTCCCTTTGCAATTACGCGTTGTCAGTTTAATGGCGGTTACAACGAATGCACAGTATTTATGTGGGACACAATTGAAAATTATATACATGAACTAGTTTGAGATTGCACCATATTATGAACTTCAATTTCTCAGAGCATCTTGGACTTCATGAACGTGATACGTTAGTACAACAGGTGTGTAAACGTTATGCACGATGTCATATCTCTAAACGTGTATCATTATTAGAGCTTTTTGTAAAAGTCATTTCTGAGAATTGCATGTTTTAAATCGTATACGGTATGAGTATTTTTGTCGAATTAAAACGGATATTCGTTTGAGGAAGCTTACGCTTTTTTTATCTTGATTTGAAGGGTTATATACATTAATGACCACTTTTGGCTGTTTTAGATATTATTCAATTATGCGTTGTTTCGGTAAATTGGCGAAATTATAGGAATAAGTTCAGTAAACAAGGTTAGTTTAAAATGCTGAATAGGAATGTTGATAAAATTTTGCTGAAAGATTTAATTTTTTCTAGATACAGATTTAAAAATAATTTTATTGGACCATGAAAATAATTTTGTTGGAATCACAAACTGATTGCTAGAATATCAAATGCTTATCATTCTTTAATTTTTAACATATTTAGATATTCTAAAATTATTTTTAGATTTGTACTCAGTAAAATTTTTAATCTTTCAGGATGTTTCATTAAAAATTTTAAAGTGAAATTCTGGAGACTTAACAAATTCCGAGTTATGTAATTTTTATGAAAATTTTTTTAAACAAAATATTTAACTTTTGAAAAAAGATCTTTAAAATAAAATATGAAATATTAGCATCAACATAAATTTTATGATTTTTTTATATTATTAGAAGCTTTCACAGTGATAAATTTAAAAGAGAATTAATTATTAAATTAGTATTTATTAATATTATTTATTTCAGGTTAAATTAATATTACGTGCAATATATGTTACTGCTTGGCGTGTAAAAAAAAGGAGTGGACCTTAAGTTTCTTGCTTAAATTAAAAGTGAAGGCATTAAATTGTGTTGAAGGCGTTAAATGTAGTTTGATTAATTTCTTGGGGTAAATGTATCCATGAAATTGAAGTCAGAAATTACAAAACATTTACTATATACGACAGAATTAATATTTATATTTTGATTTGATATTTTACAATAAAAGAAGATATAAATCGTGAACACAAATATATATATATATATA